TCTTTGGGCTCTTCTCTTTCTTCTTCTCCTTTCCTTTCTTCTTCTTATCCCTCTTGGACTTATCATCACCTTCGTCATCAGCATTGGACGGATGAAGATCGTCATCGCCTTCGTTCCCGGGCTTCTCCAGCTGAGTGCGAAGGCTCGCCGGAGGCAAAGCTGGGGATCCTTGGGATCCAGGTGGCTGCACTGATGGCGCAGGCACTCGGTTCCCCGAGGCGTTGTCAAATCTCTCTCGCAACTCCTTGATAATTCGGCTCTGTTCAGCTAATTCTGACCGAAGTGCATCCTCCCTTTGCTTTGCAGAGGCGCGTTCGTTCTCGACGACGGAGTGTCGTTCGAGCGAAATCCGATCTAAATAAGCCCTCTGTTCATGAAGTTGTTGGTTTTGATGGGCTTGGTTCATGTCACTCAAACGTTGATTGGCTAAAGCCTCAATTTGTTCCCTAGACTCCTGGATAGCCACTCTTGCTTGGTTCTCTACTAAGTCTCTATATTGCCTAGCATCATCTGCTACTTGTTGCCCGTGCTCGGCCAAAATGGCCTGATGCCGCAATTCCGCAATCTGAGCTACCTGAGCTGACCTATCCTCATTGACGAAGACTGCTTGTTGATGGATCTGTCTTGCATCAACGTTCTGGACATTCATCACAGGAGAGAACTCAGGTTGAAACGGCGACGGAGCTTGAACACTAGGCAACAGGTCCCCCTGTGAGCATCGGTGGCACATTTGGCGCACGCAACTCCAGCGGAACAACCGGAAGCTCCAATGCAGGTGAGCTGGACATGGCAGGCGAAGTGGGAACGTAGCCTGAACGCGAGCGGTCACCACGGGAACTTTCATCATCAGCCATGGCCTCTAGACAGTGCACTATCTAGGGTGGGTGAGACCAGGGCTAGGACCAAGCACGTACCGCACTTTTGGCGATACGGCTGATAACCTGTCGTTACAGGAAAACGACCGATAAGCGCCACCTAGTCGCACCTGTTTTGCCTTGAGCCAAAGTAGCACGAGTGAGACATAGATAACACTATGCTAGCGTGAAACAACATATATATATATACATACGCCCACTGGTTGTACACGACCGCGGGTAATGTCGTCGATTCATCAACCAAGCAACACAGTAAAAGGCCATCTATGCTTCAAGCACTCTTTGCCCAGGGGGATGTTCCAAATCCTAACAGCAGCTTTGAGTTTAGGACCTTTCTGTTTGGATTACTGGTCAAGCACTGCGGCGAAATCTGGGGGTCTTTGCCCTTTCCTCGCGTTCGGAACCACGTCGTGACTCGTAGCGTTCGGACCCCATGCTCGGTGGAGGCCTTTGCGGGACCTCGGTGGGAGACCCGTCGGATCAGACCGTCCGGTCGGCGACGGTCTGTGACGCCCGATGGGCGCCACAGATTTGGTTGCCGAATGCAGGTTTAGGTGGGTGAGTTTCACTCGAAATTGGCGAAAGGGCGAGGGAGGGGGAAAAGGTTTGGATGTGAAATGACGTCCTTGGAAATGTGGATGGATTTGGGCGGCTCCAACACTTCGAAGGACATCAGAATAGGCGAGTCAGGCCAGTCCGGCCAGTCTACGATTCTTCAGGACATCCTGCCCCAAAATGGCGATTCGACCCATCCCCATCGCGGATCCGCGCGCCCAAACCCGACGAAGCCGACCCAGCCGGACGAGGACGGCCACGGCACCGGTTCCACAGAGCCGAAGCGGGTCGGAACCAATGACTGGAGCTCTTCGACCAAGCGCCTGCGTCGACCACGGGTGGGCGCGCCTGGTCGATTTGGCGGTCCCCAGGCCCGCGAAACAGGAGATCAGACGTTGATTCTGGAACCAGGACTCATGTGCCGCAGCTGCATGGATGCAA